AATACCAATACTAACGCCAAACTCCCTGATCGTCCACTGGTTGTGTGTTACAGTATGTGATGAGGTCGGCTTACCTTTCTGTATATGAGGTTATTTTTCTCAGACCTGTATTATAACTAAATTGAAGAGAAATAAGCGAATAACAATAATGATGATTGATAATAATTAGTTAAATACTCTTACTATTTCCGTGGCACTGCGAGCACATTACATCAGGCGGCAGAGAATCAACGTTTTATAGTAAATTTCAGTAAACTGTGGAAATATCGCGTTGGAATATTTATGGCAACTAAACAAGATATAAGAGATTATATGATAATTATCTGACAATCATTGATGATATTCTGAAAGGGAAAAATGATAACTTCTTGACAGCGAAACAATGATTCTTCCCTGCCACCATTCTGCTTGAACTATTCCATACTAAGGAGAGGAATTAATTATGTTCATGAATATTTATTGCTAATGCGCTGTTCAAAGAGAAAACACAGACTGACGTTCTAGTGTGTAGAGAACGCGAACTTTTTAGAGGAACGTATATGGATGTTAAAGTGAACTGTTTAGTATCCATACTTACGAGTATTGATTTGAATTGTTAATTACTGATAGATAGATTTTCAACAAGCTCAGAATTAATAACTGCTCATCACAATCGGAAAGCAATAGCAGACAGTGCGTCCTATTAATATTTAGTCGATGAGGTGTTGAAACTTAACTGTAGCTAGCACTCAAGTTAAGCAAAAAAAAAAACATGTGGAATGGGTATTTTGGGTGGAATGGATTTGTGGCTGGTGAGAGTGGAGTTTCAAAGGCCAAATTCTTTGTTTTCAGTAGATTGTGTAAGCTTGTTATAGTTCGAATAGTTCACTTTTGTGGTTGTGTGCTAACAGCATTAGCAGTAAATCCTCGAAATCTGTCTATCTGTCTATCTATTGTGTGCGTGTGTATCACTGGCGCCGGAATGAGAATGACTATGTGCAAACTTTTAGAAAATTTTGAAAAAATGGTAACGTCTTTGAGATCTGCATGTCTGTCATTTTTTCTTGAAGTACATACGTCTCAAAGGTAGCAATAACGCAGTTGTAAGAATAAAAATAAACCAGCTTTCGAAAATCTGCTTTCAGTGCTTGCGTCCGAGGAAAACCGCAAACATCCGTGTTTCTTGACCCTCAGTCGGGCCTTGCGGAGTGAGGAGGAAAACCGTATAGCCTCTTCGTCTTCATTATCATTATTATCATATTTATACAAGATTAGAAAACTGTATTTTTTTTGTACTGGCGTGTAATTTTTTGTATCGATTCACACGTGTATTGACGTGATTCTTAAGCGGAAACCCGAAAGTAAACATTGAGTAATCGCTCTCCCACGAATAGCAATAAAGATGAATGAAAACGAAAATACTATTAATAGTTTCGTCTATCGCTCTCCGCCAAATGATGTGAACAGAATGAAGTCTATTTTTAAACAGATAGGCAAGTTAATTAATTGTTTCCATGCGATTTAGCAGAACTGCAATTGATTATATCTTTCTATCGGTCTATACTTGAAGATCGCATTATTCCAAATATTTTAGGGAATCGAATGTAAAATACCTATGTATATATAATAAACACTATAAACACTAAAACATACAAAATGTTATGTTAAACTCACTTATTGCGGTATACAGATATAAGTAAAGGAATATAGTTCTGGCATTTTCTGATGTGCTGTCAAGACCCCAACTTTTGCCTGAAAGTTTCATTTTCTCAGTACAGGAATATGAAAATTTCCAAGTGGATATTCATAAAATTCATAAAAGATACAATCAAAGACAAAATTACTTTTGATGGTCGAGTGGAAGCAACAGTTCCGTACTTTGAACTCACCACTCATATCATAAATTACTCGTGAGGTGAGGGTGTGTGTGTGTGTGTGTGTGTGTGTGTGTGTGTGTGTGTGTGTGTGTGTGTGTGTGTGTGTGTGTGTGTGTGTGTGTGTGTGTGTGTGTGTGTGTGTGTGTGTGTGTGTGTGTGTGTGTGTTGTGTGTGCGCGCGCGCGCACGCATTTGACCAGAGAGAGAAATGAAAAATCTGGCCTCTGGCAAATAAGAGTAATTAAAAGTACAACAGAATGACTCCGTTAAGATCAGTCCACAAAAAAACTTCCTAAAGAAAACGGATACGCTGAGAAGATGCGTCGCAGAGCGGTTCTGGAACCTTCACAACGCAACAGATTCACAATTTACATACTTTGTTCTCTTTTGCCACTGTAGTTGCTAGTATTACCGTCTTCCTAGTTGCTGATACTTGTCTTTGGTATCGATAATACGTTTACCATTATCATTGGCACCACCTCCACTAAATGATTATCCTCATTATTATAATAATGATAATAACTAACAAAAAAATGATAATAATAATGATAATCACTACCACCACCACCACCATTATGATTATCATGGTAACTATAAACAAATACGACCTATAATGCCAACCACGACATCGTTTCTTCATAGAAAGATACCAAACATTTGAGGTGTTTAATACTACAAACAATTGTGTGGAATGAGTTCGAAAAAAACACTGCAAGCTGATGTTGTGATCAGCTGACTACAAGCAGATATCAAGGTCACCAATGCCCCTTTCTTTTAAGAATCGGTAAGAATATTCTCTGTAAAAAATGTCATTTCAGTTCAGCAACGACAATATGCAGAATAATAAGTAAGATGTTTCTTAAGGAGAAGAGACAGACAGACGACAGACAGAAGAGAGGACAGAGGAGAGACGAGAGAGAGAGAGAGAGGAGAGAGAGAGAGAGGAGAGAGAGAGAGAGAGAGAGAGAGGAGACGAGAGAGAGAGAGAGAGAGATGAGAGTGAGAGGAGAGAGAGAGAGAGAGAGAGAGAGAGAGAGAGAGAGAAGAGAGGAGAGAGAGAGAGAGAGAGAGAGAGAGAGAGAGAGAGAGAGAGAGCAGAGGACACAAGATATTGTAGGTCAAGGCAGGAGGAGAGCGCTTGTGTTGTAAGATCTCTGGAACTTTCCTAATGTCTCCATCGGGAACCTGAACATAAGAATATAGTGGCTAGCGAACATCTCGAAGAAATACTGGCGTTATAATATGTATAACACTAAAGAGGAGTCTTTGTGCATTGTGACTGGGGTAGAATATGAGATGGTGTTGTGGTAACTGATATATGATGTAGATACATACATACATACATTCATATATATTATATATATATATATATGTGTATGTGTGTGTGTGTGTGTGTGTGTGTGTGTGTGTGTGTGTGTGTGTGTGTGTGTGTGTGTGTGTGTGTGTGTGTGTGTGTGTGTGTGTGTGTGTGTGTGTGTATGTATGTATCTTCATTGAGCGAACTTCGGTGGTGAAATTAATAGAGTTGGTGCACTTAGACAAGAGACAGCGAGCGATATGGCGCTAAATAAAGTTGGCGCTGGGACATATTTACACCATCCCTGGCAGTGCAGAATGTAATAGTCAGAGTAGTATTTGTAATTACAACAGCCACTCAATTTTACATTTTCATTTGACTCAGAATGCAATACATAAATACACACATACACATATACAAACATATATATGCATATATGTATGATATATATATATATATATATATATATATATATAAGTAAATTTACACACACACATATGTACATATGTATATATATACATATGTATAAATATATATATAATATATATATAATATATATATATATATATATATATATATATATATATATATATATATATATATATATACATGCACAAACACATGCACACATTATATATATATATATATATATATATAATATATATATATATATATATATATATATATATACATTATTTATATTATTTCATACGTATATTATATATATATATATATATATATTTGATATATATTGATATATATATTGATATCTGTATATACGATTTTGTGTGTTTGTAAACACACACAAACACACACACGTGCCTGCGTGTGTACATACATATTTACAAAACATAAAATCGTATAGATAGATACTTAGCTAGATAAGCTGACAGGTGGACAAATAGATATACAGATATACAGATATCGATATATATAGATTCATACATTTTCAATATACATATAATAGTGGACAGTCAGATACATGGACAGACAGAAATGTAGACAGATAAATAAATTATATATATATATATATATATATATATATATATATATATATATATATATATGACATAAATTTAGGTAGAAATACGTAAATATACATACATGTGTACGTGTACTCAATGTCCAATGCGTTTGTACCTGTGTATGCAGAGATGCGTGGGTGCGACCTTGTAAAACATTCGACAATATATATTTACATGATGCCGTCTGAATTCCAATGCATTTCTTCCAGTCTTTGTCTTGGTCTCATAGAAACAAAGGAACAAAGCATCCTCATCTTGTAAGGATAAGATGGATGAGAATTAGACTTTAAGGAAATACATATAGCATTCCTACACGACCCCAAATGTAGGATATTCATGAGGCGGAAGCACTCGGCCTTGGATCCAGCACAGGACACTTGCGCTTCCTGCATCCTATCAAATTTATCGATCACGAACCAAATAAAAGTTTTCTGCTTGCATTACACACAATGTTGCAATTATTTGTTTCATAATTTATATTGTTTATTTCTGTTGGTTCTGGGTGAGGGGAAGGTTATTATAATGGGTGGAAAGACAAAAAGAAGGGCGTAATAGAGATTTTGGCAAAGAGATATGTACTCCATTACTAAAAACGGAGATTCCTCATCAAGATTCAATTTCTGTGTGTGGATCTTCTTCTACATATATCCCACACATTAAACTTCGCCTAATATACGTTCTTATTCATGCAATATGCAATATAACTGTAAATGGGTGAATGCAGCTGCCAAATGACCCAGCCCAACCTCGTACGTCTGGCATAGCGGTTGGAGCAGCGTCAGTCAGCTTTCGTACAGTAAGGACATTTCTTGCATTTTTTACCCAGATTCCCATAGCACAGATCCATTCCTATCCTAAACAGCATACTATCATGTGCATTAACATACGGCGGAGCGGCTGGGCAGAGGAGGAGGTCCTCGAGATGCCAAAATAAATGGTATATTCGTCTTTTGGCACTTCGCGTGACGTCATCAGCGTGCTCGGAGGCAACATGGCGGGTGAGAGACGTTCCTCCTTCCGCGGGGGTGCAAGTGAGTGGGTTTTTTAGGGCATCCCAGCCGCCTTCCCCCGCTCCGATTCCTGCTAAACCCTCGTTGTCTCTTGCAGATACATTTGCCAAGTACCATTGCAACTACTGCGAGGAGGATGTGAACGGACTGAGGGTGCGGTGCTTGGAGTGCGACGACTTCGATCTTTGTTTACAGGTAGGGTCACGTGACGCGGCGGGCGAGGCGGCCTTTTTGAATCGCATTTTGGGACACGCTCGCTCAAGGGGACATTAGGGGACTTGGGTACACTGAGCAAGTTTTGTGGCTATTTTGGACCATGGGAATTTTAGGGGAGGGCTTGAGTACTCTTGAAACCTGTTTGTGAAGGAGCGGGGGAGGGTTTTGAGGAGTGGCGTTTGGGTGAGTGGGTCTTGACATAGTGTAGTTTGATGTGTGAATGATCCATGGGCGGGGCATTTTAAGCGGGTTTGGGGCATAGGGTAAACTTAGGTTTACAGATTGGGGTCTATTAAGACATCATTCATTACTTTAGAATCGGTTTATTAAGGCTTTTTCAATAGATATAACACAAGGTCTGGATTTTTGATTGGCATAACTTAGAGCCAGGGCTTTTGACTCTGTATTTAGAGGCATGAATCAGGATTAGGTATATAGGGCTTATTGGGGCTTTATAAGATTTTAAGATAGCCTTCAGACATATGACTAAGGATTGGATTCAAATTAAATTAGAATAAGAATTTTAGGGCATTAGCTTGGGCACTGATGGGTTGAGTAGCACTGTGGATGTTATTTGCATGTTACAAAGACTAATGAATGTGATGTGAAATTGTATTTGATTTATGCCTTACTGTTAAGATATTATAGTGTTAATACTGGAAGCTAATAATAAGGATAATTTAGGTGGAATTTAAATAGTGCATATTTCGGCATTCACAATGGTCTCGCCACCGGCTGGCACTCTGGAAAGGCTAACATACTGTTATCACATAAGTTTTTGCAAGAGAGGATTTTTAAACCTCTATACTGATATATTGTAAAATATGGAAGCAGTTCAAGCTTTATTTTATGTGTTGGACTGATTTATATTTGGAGGCAGCATCAATTGCGTAATTCATTTACATGGGATAATGTCATTCATATTATTAGCAAAAAAAAAATCATATATGTCTAATCATGTCAATCATGTCAGAAGCCCACGTTGCAACAGCATGGATGATATTTGAGGCTTGGCTGTGAGGTGGACAATATCCCAGGCATAGAGCAGTATGCATTAATGCTCCCAGGCCTCATGAAATTTTTGCAAAAAAAATTATCTGTTGTGAATGGGTTAAAGATATGCCATTAGTTTGTGATCTGTCAGCTCCCCAGGAACCTCAGCAAATTAAGTTTTGGTTTCGAGGTTAACCCTATGCTACTGGGTGGTATGTGTGTACTTTCCATGGCTGTTATGGACAAAGTAGTTCTCTGATAGTAGCAGCTGCATTTCATTTAGGCAATAGTACCTAAAGTAAAGGTAAACCTTAAAAATCTTTGTTTTAAAAAATCATCAAGATACAAGCTTTTAGATGCCAACAGTTACATGCAAACTACAGAACGAGCCAGGCACAAACGGAAAACTGTCGAGGTGCACCAACAACCCTGCGATCATATCCAGTAGCCAAATTTTTTTACCTGGTGTTATTGGGTTAAGTTAGAATATTCTGTAACAAATATAGGCATAATACTGATGTACTGATTTTCTCATGTGCATTTTTTTATGGGATAAATCAAGCTGAGATACAGTAAATGATAAAAAGAAAAATTGAAAAACAACTGCAGATATCAAAATCTACTAAAAAAATAAAGTGGTAAAATCTACAGAAATATACATCCAACTCTGAATCTCCTGCCCTTTTTGAATATGTTCTAACCAAGCAACCAGATCTAACCCTCTTTGCAAAATTTTAAATATTTTTCGAATTACAATTGAGCACTATTTGTATATAATTATGTACGTATACGACCGTACCCTATTCATTTCATTGCCCATTTCCTACTCTCATGTTCATATTAGTAAAGAATTTCCTAACCCCCTAACTAAGATTATATTAGGAATTCTCCCTA